GGGGGGGGGTATGTGTCCAGTGGATAGAAAATTAAAAGGAGACATCAGGGTAAGGGGATTCTTGCTAAATGTAGACCAAAGATTTTTATATCAAAGATGGGGGACGAAGAACTTGATCAGATTTCAAGGGTGGGGGGACTTTTGCTAAGACAGGGCCATGCAGGCGTGGTAAGGACAGGATGGGCACAGAAGGCCAAGGTCAAGGCCTAGTCAAGAAGAGGGCTCAGAGGAGCCTGAGTAAAGTTTGGTCAAGGAGAGGGTCTTGGTCAGAACACATGCACACTTACTCAGAGAAAATGTACCCAAGTGTTCACCTACTGTTTTGTCTCCACAGCAGTGCCCGCTCCACATTTGGGGGATTGTTGTCATGGTTACAGCAAGAGCAGCTATGTTTTCCCCCCAAAATTGAAGCAGCTACAGTTCATTAATCCAGGAGTGGATTTCCCATCTAAGCTGGACAATCGGCCTCTCTGGAGCTTTGGACTTGGAGCTGACAGTGCAGCTTTAGACTGGCTGTTGTCTTGAACCAAGGAGTTGGGAAACTTAAAAGATGTTGTTAGTGACTGTTTTAGGCATTATGGACACATGAAAAGCCAGTTTACAGGAAAATACAGAATTAAAGTGGTTGTGCAGAACGGTTGTGAAAGAGTGGGGGGCAGAGAGAGAAAGAATGGATTTCTCAAGGTGTTCCAGTCCCCAGGTCTATTCCATTTCTGAGGCCTAGCTTAAATAATGATGATCGGTAATGTTTACTGAGCACTTGCTGTGTGTGTCTGGCATAATTCTCACAATGATCCTATAGATGTTATTGTTCTGATTCTCATTTTACACTTGAGGGGGAAAAGCAAACTTGGTAAATCCTTACTTAAATGCAATTGTTTTTACAGAGGTTGCCAAATCTCACCTCTCTCCCTACCCTCTTTTGCCATCTCCTTTCTTTAACACACCCCACCCCCTGCCCCCCATCTCCTCCTTTAGCCAATTTCCCCTTTTCCTATGGAGCTTTCTCTTGGCTGCTCTATTTGCATAATGATCATATGGGTAAGGAATTGCATTTGAGTAACAGACTGGACCTCAGTACCAAACACCTGGGATTTGGCTCAACATCGCAAGGATGTCAGACCAAAGGTTACTGTGAATTATTGGCTTTTCTTTTGTGACCTCCAGGGACTGCTTTGCAGACCTATCTTATTTACATTCCAGGCTAAAGACCAAGGAAGGGCTGAGGGCTCCCTGGAGAGAGGCTCATTGCACATTCGAAGGCAGGAAATATGAGGATCTGGAGTATCTTGTTATTGCCAGAAAATAAGAATTCTTTCATAGACCCTTTGGTAACAAACTAAGTTATGTCTAGTAATGAATTTCATCTAGAAATAAGGTTTTTAATTGCTACAGTATTTTGTGTGTGTTTTTCTGCCTTTTAAGGTGAGTGAAGAGACTGATATATAAGAAATAATATTAATAAAAATTCAGAAGATACAGGTAATTAAATTTGAAATCAATGTTTAAATGTTTAAGTTATAATTTATTAAATTTATAAGGTTAAACTTTCAGTTTAATGTTTTTTAACTGTTTAGAAAGGTTTTGTCTATAGAAATGTGAGTTCTTTGTTGGATGTTTGAAGGGCTTGAGAAAATCAAATGTAGTAAAATTAGATCGTACTTTAAAATTTCCAAAATTTAATTTAAAAAATTGATAAACTTTTGGGTATACTTTATCAAATTTATAAGCCAAGTTGGCATTAATCAAAATGAAATAAAATTGGAGAATAAACTATTAACTCAAAATTCAATTTGTAAATAAAATAACACAAGTTTAAAGTCTTCGAAACTATGTTTTAAAATATGTAATTTAAATATATAAAATATAAATTGAAACTCATTTATTTCAGTGCATAAAAGCTCTCTTCAGACATAAGGAAAACTTAGACACTTGGGTGTATCAGTCAGTGTAAGCTAAGTTATAGTTATACAATGGTAAGAAGCAGCTGCAAAAGCCTCAGCGGTTTACAGTGACTAACAGTTCTTACTCATGTCACATGTCTGTTGTAGTCTAGTTGTTACATGTCACATGTCTATTTTAGTCTAGTTCTTACTCATGTCACGTATCTACTGTAGTCTGTCTGCAGCTCTGCCGAGTTCTCTTCACTTTAGGAGCCAGACTGATGCTGATAAAGTGTTGTAAAATAGGCCACTTTGGCAGAAGGATTATTTTGAACTGAAGGCAGTTGAGAAGAACCAGATACAAGAGCAGCTCTGTGCCCTCCCCCTATTTGCCTAAAAGCAGGACAAAAGTTTTCAAAGGTGTCCCTCCTCCTCTCTCTATAGAAAGGACAAAGATGAGTCCCTGGAGACAACTT